TTAAAAAGTCAAATATTTGTTTTTTTACTTTCAAATTTACTTAAAACTTTTATACCCATTAATAATAATTATTATTACTAAAATTCAAACTTTAGAGCTGTAAGAAAAATTGAAATTTGGATCAGTTTGAATTGAATCAAAATTTCAAAACCTTTCCAAAAATTTCTATTTGCAAAAGAATCAATCAAAAATTTAGGAACTCCAAAAATGTTGTTTAATTTTGTGGTCTTTTAAATTTTTCGACTGAAATTTTCAGATTTATCCACCCTGTGATTAATTTCTTCAATTTTCGTCTCAACCTTGCTCTCGTTGCATGATAATTTGTGCAAACTTTTCTCGAAAACCCCATTTACCGGCAATATTTTCTCATCTGCAAAGCAAGTGATTAAAAATTACCAAAGCTAAGAGAAATTTATTCTAATTAGAGCAAAGCCGAACAACGTAAGTAACGTTTTAATTAAAACATTGTTTACAACCGCTCAACTTCTTGATGAGATTTATCCGTCCTGCGCTCACACATCGATTAAAAAACTTAACAAAGAATTGTTCAAAGAAAAAAAAATATTTATTTTATTTTTCATAATTTATTTTTTGTTTGTCTTATTTTTAGTTATTTCGTTATTTTTGTTAGATTTAATTATTATACAGTGTGTTTGATTTTGATTTTCGCCCCAGACCTTGGGTAATGAGATCCACCGTCACGCTTTGGGGTCATTTCCGGTCCAATGGCCGCTTAATTTTTGACAAAATTGCTCCACGAAGGCTAAGTGTCAAAGTTGGACACGCAAATTGTGCATATGGCGACGAAGACGTGGCCAGTTTACCAAACTTCCGGTCTGAATCTCAATATTTCTGAAGAATTTCAATAATCTGAGTTACATAATATTTTACATTGAGAGATAAACGGGGAGGGAAACGGCCCGGATGGAATTAGAGGGGAGGTGCAGCAAGTGGCGCGTTTGTCATTTTTATTACTATTGATGAAAAAAATTACAAAAAATGATGTTCGCTTGTTGAAAGTTTAAACCATGCGTCGGTGAAATGTTTCAGAGAATCGATTAGTGTTGAAAAAAAAAAGATTAGAATCCAAAAAAATTAAAAGAGTCAAATATCAGCAATTTTCTCGATAACTATTTACTGTAGGACACTGATCTTTTTTGTATAATGATATAATACTTTGACCTAAAGCTATGTAAAATGTTCCGGGGAATCGATTGGCGTCAAAAAAACTGCAAAATTCCTAATAGTTTTGAACTTATAGT